ATCGAATTCTGGCACAATCCTGGGTTATTCACCCGATGAGATCATCTGGATAGCGATGAATTTTTACTTCACTTCGACAAATTACCTTGACTATGATGCAATTACATAATTTCTGGCAACTAGAGCCAAGAAAAATACTTACGTTGTGATCGAGATTTGTTTACTTTCGAAATTCTACAGCTCAATGGCAGGAAACGAAATCTTTTGTTATGAAGCTCGAGAAAAATCGAAAATTATTTGGATAGCGACATAAATGCTGTCCCAATTTGATATAGGAGGGTACAGGGAATCACATGTAAAATCTCAAAAAAAAATCTGATACCATTTAGCTTTAGACCAGACATGTTTTTGAATCGGTCACCATTAATTCTTCTTAAATATCTTAATTCCTGTTATGAAGCATTTTGGTTCTCATTTCGGTATATTTTAAAATATAATGAAACTAATTACTTCAAAAATGTGAAAGTAAAAATATCAATGCACAATTAAATGAAGTTCATTTTTCGTTTGAAATAAATTGCCCAACTTTACAGCAAAAAGCAATAAAGATAATAATAATTTACAATCACTAATTTTTTTTTGTAGGTATATTTAAAAAAAAAAAGATCTTTTACTACATATGTCACGGAAAAACGAGAAATTTTCTCCGCTAATTGAAATATTTTATAATTGAACTACACAAAGTTTGAGTAATTTAATTATTCCATGGAATTTTTTTATGTTGAATAAAGTCGTTATTTTTGTCAGCTTAAAAAAAGGCCAAAAAGATAACTGAAAGCCGTATAGTCAATAAAAGAAATTCTATTACATAGTAAATATAAAATTAAATGGAATAAAAATACAATTTCGATCAAAGATCTTTCCCGTGGTCAAAGGACTGTAATCTATAGAAGGAAGATCCGTTCAAATGCGGAGCCACAGTCCACTGAAAATCACTCTGTCGTTACTTGGTAGCGACCAATAGTTATTCCCTACAAAATCCATTTTACATAACTCGATTTAAACGTCATCATCGACGAGGGAAATCGTTTGCTATATACTAGCATCAGGTATAACGAAGACTTGGCGCGTAAAAGGTGTCGAGGAACTGTTAGGTCATATTTAAAGGTACACTACCGGTCAAAAGTCTTTGCCCACCTTACAGGTTACAAAATATAACCATCCTCGAGTTTAAAGTAAATAAATAACGCATCATGAAATTTTTGTCCATAGAAGATCGTTTTGAACTCAGCTTGACAATTATGAGACGAAAATTCGGAAAAGATTCATATATTGAAAGATACTTTTCTAATGAATGGACAAATACTTTTGATTGATAGTGTAAATGATGTAAGAACGATATTGATAGAATTGGTGAGCTTCTTAGAATTAATTTTAATTACAAACAGAACACTGTTTTAATTATCTTTAGAATTATTTATAATCAAAATATACAGTTCAGATCAATTCATTAATTACCATTGATTATTTATTAAATTATAATTTGATTTTACTTGAAATAATTTTTAATTCCTTTATATTAAATTCAAGTGACATTTTTCTGAAAGTAAATCAAATTATTTCTATAATTTTTCATTACTACGATTCGATTAAAAATTCTTCTCTCAACAAAGTATTTTCCACAGCAAGCTGCTCCTTTCATAAATTATTTCCTTTTTCATTTCATTGTTCCATTTCTTCATCATAAAATAGAATAATTAATAAAAATGAAGAACACTAGGTGAGGCAAACTATGCAATATAGATATATACTCGCTGTGTATGCATACACGTAAAAGTGAAGACGATCAGTCAAGAGTTTATCGAGTTACATCAAGGGGCGTTGAGCCAACGTGATTCACGTAAACTATTTTACGTACATCATAAATAGATTAATCTTCTAAAATCTTCTTGACCGGAAACTTAATATTATCTTCATTTAATATTAAACTTTATCATCTTTTCTATTAAATTCAATTCTTTTTTTCTTCTCTAGTTAGATTGTCTTTTTTCGCAATTATTGATGTTTATATCGTTTTATAAATCAATTTTTTATGTCAGATGTATAGCAACACGATGATACACATCATCACTTTTTTTTTGTTACGTTGAAATGTGTTCACAAATTATCACACATGCTACCGCGGTTTTCGCGATACATCTGGAAATGGGGATAGGAAAGGGTGGAGTAAAGCTTGGTGGAAGCCACGGCGATCGAATCATATCGCAACGTCAGCGAATATAACAAATCGACCAGTCGGGAAATCGTACGGTATTTATCGTTCAATGAGAATAGAGAAACTCTTCCATAAGCTCTTGATAGCAGTATTTCATATTCAATAAATGTTCTTTGCCAACTCTATCACAAAATCCTTCGTTCAATTAATTTTATCGTCTATAAATACAATAAGCCACTTGCCTTGGAGGTATTTCTATGAAAACATACGATAAAAATTCGCAGAGATTGAAACGACCTTACTGAAAGAAAATATGGAAGTGGGAAATACAAATAAAAGAACACGTCTGTTCTTCTCTCGAGTTATTTGTTCTGCATTATGAGTTTAGTCAACGGAGTTCATTTTTTCTCTGTTTTCATTCCATTTATCTGTATAATCTAAATGCCAAGGAATTACTAAAATATTATCGTTTTTTTTGTTTGTAATCTTCATCCACTCAGTATACATGTAAAGCTTAATATAATGATAAACCCAACATAAGACATTTTAATTTAAAAAAAAATAGATTTTCAAACATATCCAAACATAGATTTGGCCAGGTCTGGTGACCAGTGTGTAACTGGAAGGTCCCGGGTTCGACTCCTGCTCTTGACAGAATATTTTTTTCACTGAGAATCGTCTTAGGCTAAGTTGTGGAGTCGTCTATATGTGTTAAAAAATTAAAAAAGTGGAGGTGTCCCTTAATTAGGACCTTATCCAATTTTCGAAAGAATGTTTTACATCTATTTATTTTTAATAGCTTGCACGTACAGGATTATAAGGTCCTGAAATCTTATTGATGCTCTAATGATACATAGTTTGAACAATACTTACACAATAATGAACGTCTACCAATGATATCATATGTATATTTATGCTCAACCTATTTCTCATGAAAATTAATATTTCATACAAACTTGTCGAGCCAATATATAATGAGATACCAACTATAATTGTAATCTAATTATACAAACGTACATGAATAATTTAAAAAACCAAAGCAAACATTGAAATTTTATAATTGGTAAATTTTATGATAAAATTTCGTCTATAGATGAATTACAATTCATGTTGTGACAATGAATTATGCAAATTTCTGTGCAAGCTAGATCTTTTTCACAATTTATCTCACAACCATGATGCGAATAACCAACTTCGTTCATAACAACCACCTTTCACTAGCAATTTACTGCGGAATAATAATTTCTGTTGACTGACTTCAACTACCGAAACAGAGTTTCGATACAATCATTTTTACCTACCATTTCTGGTATATTCCAAAACATCAACACAATAAAGAAATCAATGCTGAATACATCTGTGATGCGTTCATTCAATCATAAATGAGCTATCATTCTGCTCATATGAATTCTTTTTTTATTGCTTGAGATTGACCATAAAACAATTTTAGTTCATTGTTTCACCAATTTACTCGATAATATCTCAAAGCCATTGTTGATAATATTTTGAACAAAGAATTTTTATTAATTTATCAGCCCATAATAATTGAGTTGAATAATTAATAGAATTTTAATGAAAATATTTCACAAATTAAAAAAAAAAGAAGTAGATTACTTTCATAATTGAGTTCAGTTTATTCATTGTCAATAATTTTTTTTTTAATCTCTGTAAAAGTATTGTAAAATAATTTAAAGTGATTGGAATTTAAATCGAAATTGTTAATATATAGCTAATTTAATAAAAAGATCGAATATTTTTCGAAACTTTAATGAAAGTTAAATTTGTGCGACATTATTTAACAAATTAATTAAAAATATTTCAAGTATCGTAAGATACCTTACAATAATACTATTCAAATCATTTCTGTCTGAGCTTTAAAAATATATATATATAATTTTGAATAAAACATTCATCCGTCTGAAAATCGACGTTAAAATATTTATTTATAAATAAATGATTAGCTGTAAATTATTTTTAATCATAAATTGGATATGTTATTCTCCTTAAAATTCTCTACAAAACGGAATTAGACAAATTACTTCGGAAATTAATTCGAGCTTTTCAAGAATAAATTTGACCGGACTAAAAAAGGGTCAAAGGTATAATCTAATGTAGTGCATTTAGTCTCGATTATTTGTGTCTTAAGTCCATTGTTATTTTAGTATTCTTCAATTATATATCAAATGTATTGATCAAAGTGCCTTTTGGTTTAAATAAATCTAACATTTATTGAATAAATTATTGATATAATCATGTCTCTTCTAATAACATATTGTAACGAATATTGCTTATATTTGACCAAGTTATAAAGTGTAGTATATAATAAGGAAGAAACGTGTCTCTTAACTGAGAGCAATGAGGCAGAGTTCTTGTGAGGAGTTAAGATTTATGGGATATGAGATATAGTTCTACCTCTCCCTGTCTGGTTGAATAGCAGACGCGTGCCATCATGAGAAATCTGTGTTGCCAGTGAGATGTGGAGATTCATTCATCGTGTAATACAGCAACGGCAAGTGGCTTATTACTGGTATATAGTCGACCAAAGAGAATGAAGAGACATCAGAGGGAAAAAAATTTAAGAGCAAAATTCTCTTACAATTTTGCATTCAATTTAAAGTTGCAACAACTGTGCTGCTGGTACATAGAATAATTACTCAGCACAGTGTACGTCCTACCTCAAACTCCCTTCGTCCTACAAAATGGATAACAAGGCATTAAGCGAGAAAAGCTATATCACGAAAGGAACCAAAAGCTACGAAGCGATTGTAAATGAACAAAAGTTTCGACACGAAAACGTTCGTTCCAAGTGCTCGTGTGAAGTAACGAGAGTGTTGTTTCATGATTTCATGATTTATGAAGCATGATTAATTACGAGATTGTTGAACGTCACCATTCGCTAGGTTGTCTTTACTGAATGAAAATAATATGTTACATGAAATTGTGCTATAATTTATTAAACGTTCCTATCGAAATGTCTGTTTATTCTCAGTAACTTTGAAAGTAAAAATAATTTAGTTTCTAATTTCCAATTTTACTAATCTAAAATTAATTAGCCTTAACAGGTTACTCGATGTTTACTCTACACATAACCTTGAGGCTCGGCTGTACTTATATTTCCTCGAGAAAATTCCTAGCAAAAATTCTTGGCAGATTACGTCATCGAAAATGATTGGTTTCTATCAATTCATAAACATGCACTCATAGAATTCTAAGGTGTCATGGCGGATGTGCTTGTCATCAGCTGGCGAGTAAAAAAAGATTTATTTTGTCATAACTACATCACTTGCATTATGAAACTTTGTTTTTCACCCTTTATGCCACTTTTTTGTATATACATAAACAATTTTCGAATGATAAAAGCAAATAAATAGCTCATAATTTGCCAAGAATAATTTTAGGTGATTTGAGGTTAGTACAGCCCAGCCTTAATTTTAATCATCATTTTTAAATTCATTATGCTATTTTTACCTTTATCTCGTTTCTATTTCCGTAATTGACACAGGCGTGGTGAACTCTGATAAATTATTAGATGATATAACACGCAATGTGAACACAAACCTACACTTCCAATCATCCATCATGAGTAAACCACGAAAACCAAACAAAAATTATAATTATTTGAATCTTTACTCACGTCATTCCTGCTATATTATTGTGGTTTTATACCTGTATTTAATTGTTCATTTGTGATTTATACAATTATGACCTAAAATATTCTTTACAAACACTTGTTATTGTATTTAATGAATGCACTTTTATCAATTATAACCTCAAAACATCAAAAAATGGTTGAAGTCAATAATTAGTGCATTAATTGATTAAATTTCAACCAATTATTTTATTCTACCAGTTTTTATAGTTGTTTTCTATATATACTTTAAAATACAATATGAAAAGCCCATTGAGTTTAACATAAGAAGAATGTTTAAATTATTTATTTGAAATTCTAATATGATTAAAGTCGATTAAATATGTATATTTACAATGGAAAAAACATAGAACTAAAATGATAAATTTGGATTTTTCAGGATTAAAACCGGTTGATACGATGGTCGAAGTTGACCCAAAGGGTCCAGTTGCTGTACGTGTTGGGGAAAGCCTCAAAGTTAAATGTCGAGTTGGATATCCCCTACTTTTTTGCCGAGTTGAAATACCAGGGGAACCATCTATGAATTTACAACCTAATCAAGCAGTAGAGGATGGAATCGCCTATTATGGAAAGGGATTAGAGAATGGCGAATGCGGTGTATCTATTCAGCGAGTCAAAGAGATTCACGATGGTGCATTTAAATGTGCACTTACTATTAATGGAACTAGGGCAGAGATCATGAATGGTGTCAAAATCATCGTAGCCAGTAAGTAATTTTTTATTTAAAAAATGGTTCTAGGTATATTGATTAATTGTAATAAATTAAGGTTGCATTGTATATGATAAATTAATGCAAGTGAATTTTTAATCATTTTTATTTAATTAATAAACTCGTTTGATATAAAATAAAAATAATTTCAATTATTTTTAGGATCACCACAATTCCCTGTATTGCGACTGACCACTGGAGCGCAGAAGGATAGATTTAAAAATGGTGAAAAACTCGATATCAGTTGCAGTGCCTTAGGTGGTCGTCCTCCTGCTAATGTATCACTATACCTTGGTACGTAAACTATGAATTACTTTTACTTTTTCTTGTAATTTATTGGAGTGAGTGAAGAAAAAACGCTCATACAGAATTGCAACATAAGCCGAAAGTCACTCATTCTTGCTCTTAAATAATAAAAAGGATTGAAACCTCAATACAAGAATCATAGAATATTATTGATGTCAAAGATATTGCTAAGCAATATTACGAAAGAATACAACTAAAGAAGTAATATTGGTATTGAGCTTTTGATTGTTTTTAGTATGTAGAAAATAAAAATTTAATAAACTCCTAATTAAAATTATTTATTGAGTAAATCATAAAAGACATCAAGAAAAATAAGTAATAATTAAGTTGATTAGTAATTGAGAAAGTCTGATAATGAATAGTCATTAGGTTAATCACTGAATGGAGCTGTCTTTACGTTAGACTAATAAAACGAGCTACTTGAGCCACTAGAATGATGAATACGTGGTGATTGGATCAAACGAGTTGACAGTTAGTTACCTACGATGATATTAAAAAATACTCAAGTCAAAGTTTGAACCATGTCGTACATGTTTTGATGTATATTTGAAACATAAATTTAATCAATAGTTTTCCATACATTCTTACTACATAATTTAAACAAAAATCTATTAATGTTTTAGATGATGAACTCCTCGCAAGTCCCCATGATATGAATATTATCAATACTAATGTAAACGACGAGTCACGTGCAGAACAAAACGTTTCGTATGCCCTCAAATGGAATGATAATGGTAAAATGCTTCGATGTGTATCTGAACATATTGCCATGTCCCAACCCCAGGAAGCCAAAAAACCGCTTGAAGTGTATTGTGAGTTTTTAAAACTGTTTTTATTCAATTAAATGATTTTAAATTAAATTGATTTCAAGTATTTTATTGTTCTTCTTTTGAATTAAAATCAAACTCATTTGCAGATCCACCTCAACCACAACCAACCATTAACCGATTTGGTTTTGTAATCGGTCGTCCTGGAATAATCAACGTAACTGTCAACGCAAACCCTCGTCCTGAGCTCCTATGGAGTGTAAATGACGAGAAAATCCTCGAAGGACGTCTTGATAAAACTGAGCGTTTGCAATCTTCATCAGCACGCGAAGTGGTAATTTTTTGTTTAATTATATTATAATTTATAGAAAATCATTTGGGATTGATATAAAAATTTTTCTTTTTTTCCTGAAGATAACATTTTTATATGAAGTTTAAATAGGATTGCTATCTAGGCTGAATGATGAGCAGATTTTTTTATCATCGGTAAAGCAAAATGAAAAATTGTTCAATAGCTTTGATGATTTAATAGATTTAAAAAAAATGTAATTTTTTTGTTTTAATGTTAAACAAAACAAGTATTTGGGTACTTTCAATTTTGGTTCCATTTTATCTATTAATTGGTGCTTTTTTATTGATGCTATACGTTTTTTGTTCAATTTCTATTAGCGTAGAGTCAGTAATCTTTCCGTGAAAGCCTCAAATAAACCCGAAATCCAATAATGCTTTGAAGCAAACTCACCTTGATTCCTTTCATCTATGAGGCTCGCGTGTTCGGTTGTTTTGGTCGACGCAATTCTGGAAAATTCGCGTACCACCTCAAAGCACTTTACCAACTCATTTTTCTTTGTCGCGTGACTTCAATATTTCTCAATGCGTTAAACTTTACAACCAATCTCATTGGAATTTGTATTTATGTTCTCACTATTTTGTATTGAAATAGGGCAAAGGAGAATGGCTGGCAGAATTGAGAATTGAGACTGTTCAGAAATCAGACACAGAAAAGGAATATTATTTAGAAGCTCGCAATGATGAAGGAGCACAAAAATATCACATTCGACTTTCAACATCACCTGAGCCTGAAGGTAAATTTTTTTTTCTTTATTAAATATTTATCATGTGTGATTTGAAAAGAAGTTCACAAAATTTTTGGCACAATTCACGCTATTTACATGAATTCCAATCATTAATCTGTGAAATTTGTGCTATTTGACTTGTAAATTGTAATGTCATTATCAACAAAATGTCTAATGACTAAATGTTCACTGCACGCACACGCAGGAGCGCTCACTCACTTCTACGATAAGTTCTCCGAGCACATGCACGCTCTAGGTAATATCCATTTTTCATATAAAGAATTTAATATTTTACACATGATAAAATTTTTTTATTACCTAAAAGTTACCATGGGATAAAAAATATTCATAAAAAAACCAATATTTACAAATTATTTACACTTCATTTCAGAAAAGCTTGCTGAATTAAAAATATATTTATATTAATAAAAAATAATAATTTATCAATCAATAGCATCAATGGGAATAAATTCTCTTGATATTCATTTTTATTTAAACTAAATATTGCTATTGAATGGTGTTTGATCATTTTCATATTTATGTATAATTTGCAAATATTACAAAAATTTTGCTTTGCAATAAAAATTATCGTGGAATATAAATTTACATATTGAATGTAAAAAATATTTTCTATCATTGAAATTCACAATTATAATTATCTCAAAACCAATGTAATTATTGGACTGTACAATCTGATATTCGATTTGCTTTGTTTTAGTAATGTAATTATATTACTTGTACATTTCAATAACTGGATAACTAAAATAAACATTGATTATCTTCATAAAAATCTAAATAAACAAAAATTCATCATGATCAGATTAATAATAAATTATTCGTTTCGCAGGCGTTGATCTTGATGCTGGATACATTATTGGAATCGTTGTGGGAATTTTGGTATTACTGCTTCTCGCATTCCTCGTTATTTTTGCCCGAGCGACTGGTCGTTGGTGTTTTGCAGGTGAGATTTAATTGATAATTTTTTAAAATATTTTTTACTTCTAATTAACTTTGTTGGTATTAATATTGTGATCAAATATATGGAGGTAATTAATTACTTTATTTGATATAAAATAATTATTTTCATTGAATAGAAATAATTAATATATAATTAATATTAGTGGTTAATTCAATCGTATTGAACGTTTGGAAAAGTCAGTCGAATTAATTCATTTCTCCTGTTTGAGGCTTCATACAATTAATTTGGTATAATTATTTTCCCTTTAAAATGCCGTTCAGAACATTCCAAATTTCATAATTATTTATTGATGACTATTAATTTCGATTTCGTTCGAAAATTCTTTCCTTTGATTCTAGATATTTAGAGTAAAATGTTCATTTTAATATTTCGAATTTTTTTTTTTTACAAAAAAAAAAGTATGCGTATCAAAAAATATAGTCTGTGTGCAATAGAAACAATATATTTGCCAGCTATTTGTATACGATATCTTGTGTGTTATGCGGCTACACCGATAGGACAGCATGCAAGTCGGGCCAAGTAAAGATTAAGAAGACACAACAACATATACCATGCGTATTCGTACTCTAGGCATGACACTGTCCAGGGGTAAGTCACCTCAGGCAGCCTATCCTTCCATGGAATCGCGCAATCCATCAATTTTTTATCAAGTCATATTGTTAATATTGAAACAACGAACATTGTTAAAATATAAAAAGACTACATTCCCTTCTAACAATACAGTTATAGTAATTAAATTAAAACAAGAAATATAGATGCTTTGTTAGTTAGTAGATATTATTATTTTTCTGATTGTCTATTTGATCCAATTTTTTGAAAGTAAAATTAGAAACATCCTTTTATTCTGTCCAAGAAAAAAATTGACATGGATTTTAAATATATTTAATTAACTATCATAATTAAATTCTAAAAAAAATATGCATCTTCTGTGCTATAATATTTTATTTATGAAAACAATTTATTTTTTCACTTCTTAAAAAAAAAAAAAAATTAGGTAGACGATTAGAGTTTATTCAATTAATTCAAATGTACTTTTTATTATTCAACTCGTGTATGATAAATTGGCACGAGACTAAATGACACATTTTATTTTTATATTTTTTATCATTCTGATGATTACACAGAGAATGATGGTAGTGAATCTTAATGAAAAAACCCTTCCATTAATCACATTCTCATATCAAAAATTTTCATTAGATTTATTTATCGCGAATGTTATTTTATATTCCCTCAATCGCATGAAGCCTTAGACTATAACGAAGACCGATGCATGTATGAAGCGCAGTAAAGCTTTGTAAATATAATTACATAAATTGAAACATAAATCAGAAAAAACGTTTATCCATCTGAAAGTTTATTTTGTTATTCAATCAGTTATTTAATTAATTAATCGATTAATTAATTAATTGCACTGATAATTTAAAGACACATGAATTACACACATTCTAGAAGCTTTTATTTGGCAGAGTTTATGTAAATAGATTTAAAAAAAAGAACTAATAAATAACTGTAGTATTATATTATTGTAACAAGCAATCGCTAACTATCAACAAAGGCAAGTGTGGTTAAATTATTACTTCGATTAAATTTTTATATCATCACTTTGATTGCTCTTTTACTTTTTTACTTCATCTAGTGAAGCTTTACATTCATTTTATCTTTACCTCTGTTCTATATTTAATGTTCAATATTTATTACTTTATATTGCATATTTTTTTCATCGAAGTAAATATAATCCATCCTCAAGTTAATATCATAAAAATGAAGCATGATTATCAACATAATATCGAGACTTAAATATCCACTATTCACTGCACTTTATCATTTCAATTAGGATATAACTATTTTGTTGAAGTTTTTTATCATATTGTTTCAAATTATTTAGCACTGTTGCTTAATATCCTGTAGATGCATCACTAGAATTATCATATCTGTAAATGCATATTTATTTGTTTAAAGTGATCGATTATTTTAAACTTTAGTCTAGTAATAAATCATAATTTGCTAGTTTTGAAAAGTCTATTAATCATTATGATTCATTCTATTCAAATGTATCTTTAAATTTTTGTCATCAGTATTTAACTAGAGCAAAGAAGTATTATCAAAAATTACTGACAGCTGTTGGGAGGACTATCATTACTAATAAACGATTATGATCAATTGACATTCACAAATAAAAAACATTTTTAAAATAAAGTTTAAAACATTCAAACAATTTTTGATAAATTTTTTATCTTTTATCAAAATAGATATAAATTATTTTCTCTACAAAATTAATTTAAATTAATTAAAATAAATATAGGAACTGATTTAATATTATAATATAATCACAGTAATATGCATGCAGTAGTTTATTTTCTATTTACATATAAATATAAATATTTAAAAGATAAAAAATTTAACAATTATTGAATGTTGATTGGGTTAAATTCAACAGACAGACCTGGAATATATATTTGACAAGCAAATGCAATAATATTGCAAGTTGCACCGATTTTATATTTATTTAATACTCTTAATTAACATTACAATCACGCATGATCACTCACACACCGCTATTGCCTTGACCGATCGTGGCGTTGCTTGTTACAGCGAGACGTCGTGGTGATGAAGAGGCTGCTGGTGGTGCTGGCGCCGGAAGCGAGGCACACATCACACCTGGTGACGAGGATGATGACCAAACGGATCAGCATATAATTGACGAAAAAATTCCACATGGTGGTCAAGAGAATCCAATCCATGCAAGCACCGAATACATCAATGGACGTAATGACATCAAGGATATCCAGAGGAAGGATGAAAAAACTGATACGCCGGTGTAAAACAATTATTCAGCCTCGATTCATCGCAGTCGTCATTCAACATCACGAATTAAGTGAATTCTTTCTTTTGTTCAAGTTGGAACATTCAACTGAAAAGTAGCAAGATAAGCTTAGGATTAAATATAAGTAAATAAATGAATAATAATAATAATAATAGATAAAAGAAAAATATCATTCTCGAGCATCAAGAATTTAGGGAAATAAAAAAAATAAATGTGCACGAGAATGATGTTTCAAAACAAATGTACATGATCGCGATGGTCTCTTTGTGATTTTCCATTATAAGCAAGGCTTGAGGATAAACAGCCACTATCTCATAGATCAATACTCCAATATGGTCAAGATAAATAAAGTTTAAAAATTTTTTCTAATTGGAATTTAAATATGAATCTTTAACTGGTACAAATCGCGATGGATTAAAGTGTATATTAAAGCAGTTGATATTATTTATGAATGTGTTCTTAGGAGAGATCTAACTATCGCGATGTTGTAATGATAAATATTAGTAATTAATGTAGTTGAAATAATCTAGCATTTCTTTTGAATCAACTAAGTCCGAGCCTTATTGACCATAATTTATTATTTATCGTTAAAAAAAATCTTGCTTAAATGAAACTTTTTTATAATTTTTTGTAATGATTAGAATATTTGAACACACATTCCTTAGGTTTATCATAATTCAGTGTTAATTATTCTTAATTAATATTATTTAGCACATTTTTTTTTTATTATTATTAGCACATTATTTAGTTCAAATTGATATTATTATTACGATTATTATTATTATTGTAGAAGAAGTATGCAAAAATACTTATAATCTCTGGTAAATTAGATCTCAATGAAAATGAATCATTTCATTTAATTTGATTATAGAATCTCTCTAATATTCCATTCGATTATAGTATGCCTTACTAAAGTTCTTACTTGATATTTAATAGTTTGTTAATTATATTATCTACTGCATAAGAATTTATTATTATTCCATAATAAGTTTAAGTATTTGAAATGAAAGAATTACTTTTGTAAGAATAATACAAATTTTTGTAACTTTTATGTATGACTGCGTGAACTGACTAAAATTTTTCCAAATACTACACTGACGACATAAAATTACATTATTAATATATTATTTATTATTAATCACTTTATTGAGTAACTGTATGGGTACAGTATTTATAGTTGACAGGAATAAAGTCGAATTTGCGTATAAATTAAGTAATATTACTTTAATAAAAATTAAATACTTTTTGAAATAGGAAAATTTTATTAAAAATTATCAACAATAATAATAAATAATACTCGGAATTTATGATAATAAGTTGGAACTTTTTTTTTTTTTTAATAATAAATAATTGAAACACTCTTTATCAATGGTAAAAAAATTTAAATAATTAATATTGAGTAAAAATATGTTTGTTAATAATTTTTAATAAAATTTTTTCTTTCAAATACGTTTATTACTATTCATAAGAAATTTTTCAATATAAAAAAAGAACGAATTTTCTAACTGTACGAATTTATAAGAAACTTTTGTAATAATTAGTAAACTCCTAAACTCATTTTTTACTGCGTTTACATTCATTCACAACAATAAATATCATTCCTTAATAAAAATGCAATTTTCATACAAGTGAAATATATACAACTCTTGCCTGTATTATTAAACACAATTTGAATTAAATAAATCAATAAATAATTCCAATAGATTTACTAAATAAATTTAACTAAAAAAAACACAAATTAAAGTATTGTAAAATTTCGATATTTATTATCGACATTAAATAATTAATCTTCGTTTTTCTAATGAAGCATTTTTGTACTGAAAATAAAATAGCAAAAAACAATTCGCGAGATAGTGAATTATTCAAAAATAAATTTCACAAAAAATGACTTTCCATTAGACTTTTTTTTGTTATTCCTTCGACAATAAAACTTTTTTGTACTTTTGTAATAAATTTTTTATTGACTCGTCTCTCAACGTAAAAAGCCTTATTTCACTTATCATCACGTTCAATGTATTTTTACAATCATTTTCGTAATCGACAACATTTCCTATAATTCGATACATAATATCTTGAAACATTCCCTTTATTCTCTGACAGACAGAATCACATTTTTCACTTAGCAAAGAAAGGCTCGAAGCCGACGAATTCTTCAATGATATCGATTGTATGGAGAAGCTGTAGAGGTTTTTGCACCCAATTTAGAAGGGGATTCCCATCAAATAATAATCTTCTGAAAGCTCTATCTCTCTTATCCTAAAGAATTCGTTGGTTAATCAAATGTCCATTTATGCGTGTTGTATATAAAGAGTAATTAAAATAATTGAACAAGTGATTAAATAAAATAAATAAATATTATACATGCTGTGGTAATAAAAAAAAATCGAAATAATAGTGATGATATGATCTATAAAAGTCTAAAGCACTTGGTCTGCAATTTTTATTAGCAGAATATTTATGCATTCCAATTGCTTCTGGACCTGTCGTTATCCATATTGAAAAAGAAATATTAAGATGAATAAATAAATACAGAAATAAATTATTAGGACTGTTGGTAGCGATGAGAGAAAATTATTTGTTAAACTAAATATTAATTCTACATTTATATTTTTAGTTGACTTTAAAGGTTTCCATTTATATCATGATCAAAGCAGTCATATCAGATAGATTTGTTAAAAAAATTCTCCTTTTTGTCTTTATTTTTATCAGAGGAATTTAGTTGAATCTTTTTATTGAATTGATATTATTTTAAAATATTTATTAAACAATAAAGACTGTTAATCTTTTTCTGTTTATTTTAATAAATAATTTTTTCTCGAAGTAATGCATACTGCATCTATAGATTGTAGTCATTTTCGATTGACATTGTCTTTAAACTTTGAATGAGAAAGAAGATGAAAAAATCCTTAAACGTGATAAGCGAATGCGATCAATATTGTTTAAGAAGTGAAGGATGAGAGTGTTTGAATCGATAAACTTTGGTACAAAGCAGGGTTGAGATATTTCAGTGATTGATTGGATTACGAGAATTCCAGACAAAATGTCACGTTATAGAATTTTGTATGTGCATAATGTAGATTAATTTAAATCATACATCATTTAAATTAAATCAATAAATAAATTAAGATTCAAATGTTTCTAAATGTCTCATAATATCCGAGTTGATGTGAAACTTCTTTATATCAAACTAAATTTAATTGAATGAATAAAGTGCGATGAGAATTAAAAAAATAAATAAATAAATATATTAAAAAGCAAAATGAACAAACAATGATGAAACTAGAATTAAATAAAACTCGGCCCGATCTAAAAAAAAAAAATAAAATAAAATAAAAAATAATACTGTTTCAAATACGTATAAAAACAACGTTAAAAATCACTGCCAAAGGCGCCCCGAGTACAGAGTGAAACTAATGATTACTACAATAAAGTTGAAAGCACTTTCAACTCTCCCAAGCTTTTTGCCTAAAGGGTTTACTCGCCAATAAATAGAAAACTTTGATAATTTTCCGTTTCATTTAAATATTTGAATATTATCTAATTTTTTTTGTTCTGTCGCTGTGGGGGAGTAGTAGTGTAATCTCATGATACACTCGAATTTTAAACGTTCAATCTATTCAACTTGTTAAAGAAATATTCCTATATGATAGTATAATTAATTGTATAAATCTAGTAATTTATGCAAATATTGGAGATCTGATAAAATAGAGCATTGAATTAGATAACAAATGAACGTATGTAATGTACAAAAAAAACAATCATCATCGTACATTATAATATTCTGTACCAATTCTATTTGTGTTCTTGAGATATGGATATTTAATAATTATTTTATATTTTATTATTAATTAGTCAGTTAATGAATTATATTATTATATTGAATATTATTATTATACTATAATTACTCAATGTATTAGACCATAATGGTATTTTACTTAAATTTTTCGATGGTCATGCTGACAAATTATTCTTTAATATTATCACAAATATGAAATAGACTTGGATCTATTTCATTGTAGATTTATGGGGAGAGTAATTCGCTTCAAATGAAATAAAAAAAAGAGGATAAAGTTCATAAACAAACTCGTACTCGATGAAATAATATTTAATGGAAACAAAAAAAAAATACTTAAATAAATAAATGAATTAATTAATTGGAAAGCATGATCGTTGGCCATACAATGGAGTATACTATAAATATATATATTTATGTTAACATAAGTTTAGATATTAAAGTTAATAATATTAATTATATTTAATAATTAGTGCTAAACAAAAAAACTTTGAGAATTTATAGGATATTTTTGATCTTTAGTTTGTTTAAATATTAATTGCACATCATGATTTCAATCAGGATTTTTAAAAAAGTTTATTTATCATTTTATTAGAGATTATGATAATAAAAAAATTTATAAGAACAATCAGTAATTGAAAATAAAATGTTTATAATGTTAGTAATTTTAATGAACTGAAAAAAAAGTAACTCAGAGATCACATTATTTAATACGAATGTATTATATATTATTTAAATCTGAATGAATAATATTTAAGTTGGCTCGAATTTTAAAAGTATTTAAAATGAAAAATCACATTTTGTATTCGTATATATAATATAGGAAACAATCCAACAGACAAAACAAATAAATTTGAATCTAATAGCTACAATGTTTCAAATAGAAATTAATATATAATATAATACAAGAAACAATGTAATAAATATAAATTGATCCATCGCTACGATATATTATATATGATATTATATCTACATTTAAGTATATGATTTTGGAAATAAAAATTATAAAACATTTGTTTTCAAGATGAAATATTTTTACGACTGACATTCCAAACAATTAAATATCCATCTAAATAAACTCTTTAATATTTTTACTTAATTATTATTATTATTATTTTATAAACACAAATTAATATTTAGTATCAACATTATTTTTATTTTAAAATCATTTCTATTTCAACATTTTCTTATTCAATATTTTTAATTTATTTTATTTTTTTTATTAACAATCAATAGAAGTATTTATTTATAAAAACTCCTGAGTATTAATTAATTATTATAAAACTCGTTTATCAATATTTTTTTATTATTATTTTTAATTATTATGAGTTCTTCATGTAGTTATTAATTAATATTTATAGCAAAAAAAAATCGTAAGAAGTGAAGAGTGATAAAAATGAATTTAAAAAGAAAAATACATATATTAAACTAGTACGTTCTCATTATTTTCCAGGTGGTTCAACAACTAGGAATATCGGAGAATCGTGAGTATCGGTTTCTCGAAATAATTCTCCACTAGTTTGAAAACACGCCTTCTTTTTGGAGCACAAAAACGCACATGGCATTTTTTTCTGCTGATAGAGAATATAAATAGGCACTTTTTTTTAGAAAATTAACACTGAATGTTTGCGATTAACTTTAAATTTGTAGCTAAAAATTAGATGACCAATTCTTCAATTAGATAGACAATGGATTTTGGTAGTTTTGCAAAATATAACATTTTCAGAGATGTAGCAGATCCAGCAGCAAGTATTAGACTTCTTCGTTTCTACAAACCAAAAATCGACGATGCTAATAATGGGCACAGGCAAGGATCTTTTATTTTTCGCCCTTGCTCCATTTGTCTGTTCTTGTAAATACGCTGATGCAGAATATGAACATTAAATATGAATGAAAAAAATATCGAAAAAATTAATGAAGGATAATTATATAACTCTTTTATTTTTTTAATTATCAAAGTTTTTTATAGAAAGATAATTGATGGTAAGGTAATCATCTTGCTCTAGACTGTACCAAGAATTCATCTGATTCCAATCAATGAAGCTGTTATATATTAGGCTTAATTGGTGATAGAAATTTTACAAGTTATAATAAAAATATACTTGGAAGATAAAAAGCTAAGACAGTAATATGACTATCTTGTGATAGTAACATAATTGATCCACTACATTTATTTATTGACTTAATTATTTAATTAATGCACAAAAAAATACTATCATATAAATAGAACATAATAGCAGTAATGTCTTATTCTAAATAAATATAAAATTTTCAATTTTTATAATAGCTTCATTCCATCTTATTTCTGTTGTAGAAAAACTCTGACTTCATTTTGTTACTATTACAAGACAATTCTATTGTAAGTAAGGTTTTCATTTTTCTGTTGAAGCAATCTTTTTTGATTATGTTTTTATGTCAACTTTTATTTATATTGGATTTCTTGTTCACGAGTCTTTGCAAGATCTACCAGGATATTCAGAGTTATGTCATGTTGAAAATTACATTATATGAAGACAGTAATGCATAATTTCTTTTCAATGAAGACTGAACAAAATGAACATTAGATTTTATTTAAATAGAAGTTAAGAAATGATTTAAATAAATGATTAAAAGTATTACTTCTTCCTATGTATATTTTAATTATATTTACCATCAATAATTTATCACTAAGCAAGAAGATATCAAAGAAGACCAATATTTTTTCGATATTTTTCTCAATAACATACACTGGTTTCTTAATCAGCTTAGGGACAATAATTCAATTTATATAACCATGTTGATGCTTTTCATAAAGTTGCCAATTGTGCTTGTCTGCTTTGGTGCTCGGTTTGTATTCTTCATGTCAACATTCATAAGTTATTCATTTCAAAATTCAAATAATACCATGAATCAACGTGAAATTCTAAACAATTACTATTAGCAGCTAGTAGATAATATAAAATAATGATGAAAATTTTTATTAATTAGTAATTTCATACCATCAACAGCTAGACGATTCTATGTCATAAAGAGTTCGTATCATTTTTTCTCAATAGCAATTATGATTCATACGAAACAAAAGATTTCAATAAAAACTCGTTCTTTATTGGCTCAGGTAATGATCACCCATGAAATAATTTATACGTTACATCTGTCGAGTGCAAAGCATTATCACTCTTATAAGTATCATCTAAATCAAGTCAATTGATTAAAAAAAAAATAATTAATCTATAATTAGGCTTATTTTAAAAGTCTAGATCTTTCGTTAATTAATAGTTTCTGTTATGACTCACATAATAATTAAAAAAATGAATATTTGAAATGAAAACAAAACCTGTAATAATGTAGAAAAAGATTTTTTTACTATTATTTTACTAATTACTAACGACAAGGAAAAACATAGAAACAACACAAAAAAGCTCTAATAATGACAAAAAAAAAAAAAGAAAAACAAAAATCTTGACTTATAATAATAATTATTATAATTAATTCTTATTATGGGGCTTTTTTAATCAACTCTTTATTATATTCAATTGTTTGTTTCTAGCTTTCAATATTCTTCTTAATCATAAATAGAATATTTATTCAAATATTTTTAATTTTCAAGTTTTGAAGTAGATTTAGAATGAAGAAAAAAATTAATTAATAAATTGTTACTATGATTTTCTTTCCTATTAACATTATAATTATAATATTAATATAGTAATAATTATATTATTAACATTGTAATTATAGAGCTTAAGCTTTCACACATAAATGCACACTGTTATGAGTATTACATTATATTTTTCTACAGATTCAAACAAAATTTTACTATGGAATGTAGTAATGTCGGACCAGTATATATAAAGAGTTTTTTATAACTGAAATTTTGAAGATGATCTGCTCATACTACAAATCCATAGTAATTTTTCATGCAATAATTTCGCCATGTTGATGCTTTTTATGCTTTATTTGAAATAATATATAATTAGTTAATATTTATACTCTTCATTTAATTGATTTTCATCAACTGAGAGCAATTACACTGAATCGATGAAAAAAATCTGTCATTAACATCTAGATCTTTCGTTAATTAACAGTATTTATTACTGATTATGTAATAGAACTAATAGAAGCATAAACGGAATAATTTCAAAAATAGCCATCGGCAATTCTTCTTTTATCAATATAATATTTACTTCAGTCAGATGATGCTTCGTACAGAGACTATTATCGATCCAATTGCTCTAAATTTCATATCATAACTAAAATCATCAATGCAATTATATTGAATTGATAAAAAGCCTAACAACATCCATTAGAAGCGACACAGAGAGTGCTGGACGTTATTCAAGGACCGAAGTAGATGGTACTTCAGGCAGACCACGGAGACCTAGAATGGTGTTTTCACAGCTCTTCCGTCGTAACAAGGATAAAGTTGCTGGTGCTGACACAGACACGATGAGAACTGTCGTCACTGTTGATGATGAAAAAGTATGTTAAAATATAATTATTAATTTATGTTTTATCACTTACTATATAATCTTTTAATTTAATATTATTTTTATAATAATTTTTATTGACCTTGAATCAGTACTACTAAGTACATCTGTCATAAATATTCAGTAAAACAAGAATTTAGTAAAAAAAAAAAATTGTAATTCTTCAACACGATCTTGGAGACTTTTTACATTAATTTTTTATTATCGTTTTAATGCTCCGGTAATTCCAATTAATTAACATAAATTAACATCGGTGTTGCTGTTTGCATGAAAATGGAGTATAAAAATGTAATAATATAATAAAAAAAAGTGTTAAGACGATTCATATTTTGTTTGATAAATAAATATACATATGACATAATAATATTACGTATTTATAAATTATTTATCATCAATTATTTGTGAGTAATCTACGTAATATGGATATTTTTCAATTTCTTTTTTTCTAATAAAATTCTATCTAACCTTTATTTATAAACTCCAAAATCAATTTTTTAGATTATCGATAAGGAAAGTGTGTAGCAAATAGTAAAAATATTAATGCTGGGTTATTTTTTGCTTTCCTAGTCAAAAACATATTAAAAATATCCTACGTCATTTGGAATTATTTATGTATTAATAAATTATACTTAATTAAAAGCTCCCAATAAAAAATTCCAATCATTTTTATTGAAGTTTCCTTGGACAGAAAATCAAAGTATAGCCCACAGCCTTAGGGAATTTTTTCTTAAATAACCCTGTAATAGTTAATTTATTACAAAAAGTGTAATAATGAATTTCAAGTATAATAAAAAATAAGGATAATTGCTTACCTGGTGATTGTTATTTTATCTGTTCATCTAGGTTCCGGAATCTACTGAGCCAGCAGAAAAACCCACCTCTCAACCTGAAGGAGGTTTAGTCTATGCAGAATTGGATTTAGCTCAACGTGAACAAAACACAACTCCTCGACGTGTTAGTGCAGATAAAACAGAATATGCAGAAATTCTTTACACAAAATCTGAAGATGCAGAAACTCCTGCTGATACTAAATAAAGTTCACTTGTAGCACGAAAAGCATCAATGTTTAAATAATTGGACTACGGGTCGTACGATTTTATAAAAATTACTCAAATAATTGCCTTAAAGTTTTTTCATTATAATATAACTCTACTCATTCTATTGACGACTTGCGAAAAATCAATGCACATTTGTTTTTAAATATTTATACAACATTGATTGCCACTAAAATTGCAATTAGTTTGCAATATTTTTAACTCGTACAAAGCACGATTTTTTTTTATCTACGTACTTAATTGATGTGTGAGAATGATTGATTTTTTTTTCTTAAAACATTTATATTTATAATAATATTTTAATTATATTTTTATTAAAATAACGAAAAATAATGAATTGAATTAAAACTTTTATGTTAAAAGCCAATGATGTATTTAAATTATAGTTTAAAGCATAAATTATTATAATTATTTGTCAACTAATGTTTGATCTGCTGAAATATCCGTAATTTTTATTACTAAGTAATATTTAATTAATTATCATTTAATATTATTTTTAATAGTATTTTTTATATTTTAAAACAAAAATATTCGTATGAATGTATTTTAGAATTTTTAAATACAGCTTGGAAAATTTTTTTATAAATTTATGCATAGATGACTGAGTAATCACAATTCATTGAAAACTTTTTATTTACATATAAACATTGATATCTTAAGCAATTAGCCATGTCTACCGTCCGATGTATTAATAAGCTTTAGAATTATGAAATTTTTTGTACATCTTTGTTTGGTTTAATAAAACATATTTACGAATAATTTTGATTTTCTTGTATTTGTGATGTGATTATTTATTTAAAAGACATCCAAAAGATGACTCCTTTTTAGCATACATGTAGAGCAATAGCTGGATTGGAGTAAGAGGTTGTTGTACTATTATTTGAAATAATAATGAATTATTCTACATTTTAAATAAAAAATGCATGGGTGTGTAGTGCGACTTAACGTGATATATTTATTGATGAAAACAAACTTATGCTATTTTTGATAACATTTTATAAAACATCTGCCATTGTCAATTCTTCTGCTTCATCTTCAAAATTTTCATCCAATAAATTATCAAAAACAGTAGATTGATGACGAAATACAACAGATTTTTTAGGTTTATAACTTTTCATCGATAATTCACCTTCACGCATTTCCTTGACTTTTTTCTTAAATTCTTTTTTACTCCTGTTTGATATAAATTTCCTTGGGGGAAGACAATCCAAAGGTTTAGATATCGATTCTTCCACCATCGTAGAATGTTTGCCAGAATATTTGCTAAATTTCTCAACGCATTTATCTTCCAAAAAGTCTACAGTCCTTGGATAATCATCACAATTTTTCAAAAATTCAATAGCAGAGTATCTATCAAAGTCTTGCTGAGGAGTTTTTTGTAAGGATCGATTTTTCTCGACATCTTTTTGTAAACTTAAAACATTTATTGCTGAAGACTGCCTATGTAATTTTGAACGTCCAATTTTTTTATGCCAGCTTGTACTGAGTATCACATTTTTTAAATGATCGACAGACAAGTCTGGTTCTGGAGAAGTAGCTGGTGGATTCTCAAGATTGTTTTTAATGCCAAGAGCAACATTTTGTCGATATTTTTGGTAAGAATCTTCGTTAGGAACAGTAATAGCACCAGATATTGGAGTATTTGGCCCGCAAGCAATTCCTGGATACAAAAAAGCACCATGTGAACTTAAGAGTATTTTTTTAATCTGAGTCTTTTTATCTTTTTTAGCTCTCTTCTGATCATTTTGATTCTTTTGACTGACAATTGCTGTAGGACACCTCTCTTGTTTAAAATGAAAAGTTATTGGTGTGATAAAAAACTCCAGTCTTTGATTCGTATTAATCATTTTCACCAGAACGTAAATTAAAGCATTCAAATTACGACATCTAAGAACATAAAGAGCACCATGATGTCTTGAAAACAGTGGTGGACCAGTCCAACAAGGATCTGCAGCATAAAATCCATCACCAGTAGCTAGAACTGCTATAGAAATATTCCCACATTTTAATAAAATATTAGAGTACTCATTTAGAGTGTATTTGAGCAAAGCAGCCAAAGTTGGTCGTCTTTTTCCACCATAAAGAACTCCGCATTTTGTAATCCCAACGTCTATCTTCCAAATATGAGGAGAAACTTTGAAAAACGGTTGAAGATTAAAACTATTAGAGTGCTTATGTTCTTTAGCAGCAGCTTTCAAACTTTCTGTATAATAACAATCACCACAAATAACAGCAGAATCTAAAATAGCTGGTCCCCATTTTGAAGGATGACATAAAAATTGCATTGCAAGAATTGCTATACAAATAGCCTCTTTATTTTTTCCTTTACGATTCCCAAAGCGATTATCATAAGCTCCCAGAGTACCCCACAAAGAATAAATCATGTTAGGAATTTCAATAGTATAATAATTCCATAATTTTTTTACTGTTTTATTCTCTTTTAAATTCGATCGTTGCTTGCATAAATCATCTTGATGCTTGCCTTGTTTCTTTTTAATTTTCGAATGAGCTGAATAATTATGTCGAGCATGATCAATACTCCAATGATAATCTAAATAAATCCACATTGGATCTTCTTGCAATTTATCTGATGAAATAACATTTATAGACTCAACGTGAATTTCATGAATAAAAAATCCAGTTACGTCTTCAATAAAATTTGATATCATTGACTTCACCATCTGACATAGTGATGAAAAAATACCCAAAAATCCAGCACCATTTTTCACTTTTCTTCCTCTATCATCATTCTGATATGGGTTGAAGTAATAATAAGCATTCGTTGCTGGAGAATACCAGAATCCATAACAGCAGTTAGTAAAGTGTATAATTCCAGAATTATGCTTGATAAAATATTTCTTGAATTCTTTTAAAATTCTTGAGCACATGTTCTCTTTCTTTTTTTTCTCTGGTAGATTATCAAAGTCATCAAAACTAACTAGATCTAGTGCAATGTCTCTAAAGTCAAATACTCTGTTCATTATTGGAATATTCTTTAGAATGTGTTGAGCATGATATTTCGCACCACTGCATTGTCTGTATAAATTTTCAGAAGCTTGAATTATTTTATCTACCATGCTGGGAATAGGACTTTGCATAATATCTCTGTTTACTGTAACCGACAGCAATGCAGCAAAGTAGCAACGTTTCAGTTGTGGTTCTTTTATCTCTTCGAATAGCTCAAAGCCAACAGTACCAAGGATAAACTGTGGTCTTGAACAAGGCAAAGCGGTATAAAAGATTTTCTCGATATCATAAAAGTCATTTTTCCGATGGATCTGAGGAAGAGAAACTAGAGAACTACTTTCATGAAGTCCATTCATGTCCGAACAGTCAGGATCTAATTTCCTAGCATAAGAAATCGTAATGATTCGCATTCGAAATTCCATTTCTTCAGGTTCATCAATAAGTAGAACAATTAATTTGATGAATTCTTCTAAATCAGTTGATGTAACAATTTTTAAATTTGGAGTTTTAGCAACTGTGTACCAAAAGTAATAACGAGCTTGAACTTTCATCAAGCCAATATGCATTTTTCCACAAGAAATAAATGCTCCAGTATAAATAGGAGTATCAAAGAGCTTTTTTATTGACATTGTGAGATTCCAGTCTTCCTTTGAATATAATGTGCCATAATGAAGAGGAGCAAACACAGCTTGAAACCGGTAATTTGCAATGTCAAACTCAGTTAGAAGTCCATCTATCATATTATTTACTGTAGAATCTTCAGCAGCTAGAAGACTATCAAAAGCTAGGTCCTCGCAAGCCTCAACAATCCCTCTGATTGTCCGAAAACCCCATCGAGATGGCTCGTGAATACAGGACCAAGCCATGATACATAAATCAAGAGGTTCTGCGAGAATAGAGTGCTCGTTGAATTTTCTATCGAATGGCTTTCTTCTCGGTAACTCGATTAAGGTCTTGGATTTTTTTGTCCCTGGTGAACTAGACATGAATGCTGGTAGATTAGGTCGTGTGATGTCATTTTCAACTACTCTTACTTCCAGCACTGAAGCATTGAAGTTTTTTAACGCAACGAATCCTCGCAAACTTGTGTCAAAGTCGAATAATTCTTTTTCTTTGTTTTTTATCCAATCAGATAATTCTATTAACGATGAACTTCTTTGTTGTGATGTTATTTCGATGTCTTCTATCGATTCTTCTTCAGTATTTTCTTCTGATGAAAGAAATGATGACGTTGAAGTATTTTTATTTATATCTTTTTTCTTGCTTTTGAACTTCTTCTTTTCTGTCACCCATTCCATTCTTGTTATGTGTAAATTATAAATACTGTAAGGATTGTTTGAATTAAGATTACAGTACTCTTGAACCTTTTTAATAAAATCATCAATCTTATAGAATTCTAGAAGACATGCAGAACCATTCTCACTGACATTACCCTTTTCATCACATGAATAAGGATCGAAGAGATAATACCCATTGTTCGTAAACCAAAACGCGTACGACGCGTTTTCGAATACTAATATTCCACTTGAATGTTTTTTCAAGTATCTCTCTAAACTACGTGAGATTATATCCATTTCATATTTCTCAGGCTCAGCGAATATTTCTTCATTTAGAACAATATAAAATTTTACTTTAAAAAGCTCTAAATTGTAAGTCCATGTTTTTACTCGGTACTTTAAAACTCCAGCATCTTCATAAAGAGCTTTTGCTTCGAGAATTATATCATCAATGAGACTTGTTCTGAAAAACTTTACGTTTATTTGAATTTTTGTTAAAAGACATAGAATTGCAGCGAAGAAACATGCTCTTAATTTACATTCTTGAATGTCACTTCGATCATCTAATGTCTTACTTCCTAGGATAATACCATATTTATCTTCAACTGGAATAAAACCAATTGATTCTCTTAACAACTCAGGTTCTTCACTTTGCAGCTCTTCTTGCTCATTGTCATTTATTGATTCTTCCAATTGACTTGATGCTTCTGAATGGTGCGAATAATCTTCTCCAGTTTCTTCAGAATTTCTTGGCTGCTAAAAAAAAATATCAAATGAAACTATTCACTTGAATTAAATATTGAATAATTTTAGAATAGTTTGATTCTAATAATTAATTATAACTTTATTACGTGATATTACCACTTAAGAAATAATATATAAATAGATTTACCTCTTTCGATTTCGATTCTGAAAAAATCAAATCCATCATAATACTTTCAATATTATCCCCAAGTGTCTTCATTACTTTTTTCTGCTGACCAATATTGGATAGCTTATCAACTTTTTTATTTCTCTCTTGACAAGGCTTAGGTTTTATCTGAGGTGTTGGTGTCTTGATGATTGGACCAAGTGGAATTATTGTTGGATTAGCTTTGATCTCAGTAGAATCATCATTAATAAAATCTTCAAAACGGTGTAAACTTCGTAACTGTCTTGAATTCTGGTTTTCTCGGCATTCTCTTTCTTCTTCTTCTTTTTCTTTTTCATATATGCCTTCGTCATGAATATATTTTTCATTGATTGCTCTCAGTGGAGTGAAGCCGGTTGGTAAAATTCGAGAATAAAGATATTTTTTCAAAGGCAATTTGATTATCTTTACAGCTTCTTCACGAACATTTGTAGTATTAATAATTGTAGCATTTAAAGGTTCAGAAGATGGTAAATCTGTCTTTACAGCTAATTTAGAATCAATTGAGAAACATGATACTAAAGATGGAACAGATTGAGAAGCTTTTTTGGCTGCTAAAAGCAAAGCGAGGACTTTCTTAGGTGGAGAAACATATGGTGGCGGAAGATTGTACTTTAATCTTTCATACTCAGCTACTTCTTTAGCCTCAGTATCAATTATTTCTTCTTCAAGATTAACATTGGCAGTTAGAAGAAACAAATTTAATTCATCTGGAGAATTTGACCGATCCTGTTCAGGAATTTCTATCAATGGATCTTCGAAAATTTCTTGAATTTCCTCCGTTATCTTTTGTAGTAATTCTTCTCTTTTTTCATCTTCTCTATCCTCGTCTGTTTCATTTTCCTCTTCATCACTTTCTTCATCCTCCTCGTCTTCTTCATCCTCTTCTTCTTCTTCTTCTTCTTCTAATTTATCCAGGTGATCTTTCTCTATCTTTTTCAATTCCTCTCGATTCTTTTGTTCAATTGACTTAAGTGCCAATAAATCTTCATCAGTCAACGGTAAAAACATCGTTTGATACATTTCAACTCTTTCTTCAGGTGTTTCTACTTTTATCGAAGCAACCTTTTTTTCTCGATCCATTGATTGAATAGAAATGAAATGAAAAGTGAATTTCCTATCGTTGAATTCTAAAATTCCATGAAGTAAATTTACTAATTCATTTATTGAATCTGTAACTAAGAGTACAGATGAGCCTCCTTTCACTCGCCATCCTTCATTGTCACTACCATATGGTTGGAATAAGAAATAATATCCCTCTTTTTTCCAAATGCCATACATTAATTGCTTATTTTCTAAAATTAACTCATTATAATCATTGAAATATCTTTCAAGAGCTTCTCCTAGATTCACTAGAGGATCTGCATCTCCTTGCATAATTGATTTTTTATACTGAAAGTTCACCCAATTATTTCCAATCTTCATCTTTTCTGGCAGCATGGAGATGTCAATAAATTTAGGTACTTTATTTATCTGTATCTTATCATTGTCATCATCTTCCTCTTCTGTTGTTTCACTTTCTTCTTCCTCCGTTTCTTCATCCTCATCATCATCATCTTCTGTTTTCTCATCATCTTCATCCTCTAGGTCTTCTTTGATCTTTGGACTGCCTCTTTTTATCCAATCAATTATCGAAGAATGTAATTGATTTCCCAAATCCAATATTGAGTTTAAATCAAAGTTACTCCATAATGATGGATGTTTTGATTGAGCAAAAAATATAGCACTAATTGCCACTGAAATACCTTGTCTCCCTCGAGAAGATTTGTCATACTCTTCAGAAAGACAATTCTTTGAACTTTGTAAAATCAAGCAATGTGGATGGATAATTTGAAAAAATTGAATCTTTTCCATCTGATGATTTTCCTCTTCTTCATTAAAATTTTTTCTTAATTCTAAGCTTTCTCCATCCTCTTTCCTCGCTTTTTCTTTCATCATAAAATTATTTACCTCTTTCATCAACTCAGGAAATTGACTTTCACTATTTTTTATTCTTTCCGCATTCGATCGTGGTCTTGGAATTATATCAACTTCAATCTTACATTGATCTATAATCTTCTCAGGAGATAAAGTTGGTGGAAGAGGTCTTCGATTGACCTTTTTTTCACGATAAACTATTTCATTCTCTAAGTCGTCCGATGCAACTTTGATATATAAAATTCTTACTCCATGAATAAAGAATTGATCTTTTTCAGTACTTCCAGTATTATCTAAAATAATTTCAACCATTTCTTCTATTGAATTGTTCATAGTGACACAAGCAACAGCTTCTTCATATCTTTTAATATCTTCTGGAGTTTCACAATCATCTAAATTCACTCTGAAGCCTGCTTCATCACAAGCAAAAGGATCAAAAAAGTAATACTTATCTTCATCTTTCCACAAGGCATAAAATGTATTTTTTATTTCAAATATTCCTGATTGATGTTGCTGAAAAAAATCAACAAGTCCTGAATCTATTGAATATTTTCCTTTTCCTTTTGCTTTCTTTGCTGCACCAGGTATAATATTTGCTTCAATGTGAATCTTTGCTGCATAAATTCCCAGATAAATGTCACCCAGGATATCATCAAGAGTTAATTGAAAATTCTCATCTACTTTCTTCCCTATGGCTCGAGCTAAATCAAGTAGATAAATATGAGCGTGGTTAAATATCAAATCTAATATTGGAGTAGACCAGTTGTTAGCTCGAATTAATCTTGAATAAACCAAAGCACTCAGTGCAACAATCAAATGACTACGTCCTTGAAAAACTTCTGGAATTTTTGAATGCATTAAGTGAAAAGAACTTTTTACAAGAGCTCGAGGACCTTGAATATCATAATCACTGGGTCGACGTTCTGCTCGCCCAGATAATTTTTTTAATTCTTCAGACTTGTAATCCATCATTTAAACTGTTGCACCAATTGCGATGGAATATACAACAAGTTTCATTTTTACATTGCTCTTCTCCAAGATCATAAAAAAAATCCTCGTATGATCAAAAAGAAAAATCAACTTAGCAACTGTAAGATGCAAAACACACTCATAGTTAATTTTAAGAAAGAAGCAAGAGTTTTTAATTAGATCGGGATAAGGTTATGTCATTGCTAAACTCCTCGCACTAATTTTCTAATTTTTAACCAACTGAAACGTCAGTCTTTTTTTTATTTTCATTGGACAGAGATGATGTTATGTAAATTTTTTATCTATTCTTTAGCTTCATAAATAACAATTAATTCAAAATAGCCAATTATTTTTAGTATTTCTTGTTCCATCCAATTGTATAAAGACGATTAGATATTTACAAGTGTCATTGACATGCTCATTAAATCGACAGTAGTTAGATCAGTTTATTATCAATAATTTAATGGGCCTATTGTAAATAATCTACCATTTATACAAATAAAAATTAATGACTCACTCATAGCTATAATATTTAGTAATTACGTGTCGAAATATACTTAAGACTATTGCAACACATAGTTATATTAAAATTTATATTTTTTATTAATGAAGTTGATGGTTAATACAAATCTCTATTACATAGTTTTGTAAACAAAAATAAATGATATTTTAAATTATCATTTTCAACAATTACGGTTTTATTTTAAATTTCAAAAGAATATTCAGCTTGTCCTAATTCATTCTGAATAAAAAATTTATAAGTTCCATGATAGTCACTGTCTTTCGTTGAAATAGTGAGAACTGCAGATCCACTGTAGTTCATAATGAGTATTTGGTATTTATAACTATTACTCAATACTTGATTATTTTTATACCAAATTATTTCACCCTGTGGAACAGCTGAAGCCTCAGCAGATAATTCAATGGCATCCAAAACATTGTTGTCTTGGAATATTTTTTTTACACCTGCACTGCGAATAGATGGCTTTGACTTGAGGCTAAGAAGATAAGATCGCGAACTGGGCAACGTATGTTCCTCGTAAGCTCTACAAATATATGATCCAGCGTGTTCTGGTTTTACAGATGGAAAACTGAGAATATTTCCCCTACAACGTAAAAAAAAATGTTTAATTACCCATGATGATGTTTAATAAATTTAAAAAATATTCTTACCGGTAAACTTTTTCTCCATTTGGCAATCTGAGATTACCTTCATTCTGTTGAAATAAATTTATATATTCTGGTCTTGACCATTCGACAATTACATTGGCACCAGGAGTTCCCGAAGCGTAGCACTCAAATTGCACTGAATCTCCAACATTGGCAAGAATATCTGTTGTGGTGTTTTCATAAATATCTGGTCTAGTTAATCTAAAAAGTGGATCATTGGAAAACCCACTTTCTGGCAATTGTAAACTACAGAAAACTGGAATAACAATAATATGTTATTGTTGATGTATGACTTTACAAAATGTTGCTGAATTTATGAAAAAGAAACTTACTTGGAGCCGTAAGGGTGGCGATAACACTCAAAAGTATGAAAAACATTATTAATTATTATTTTCAACTAAAAAATGACAGTTAAAGAAAACTTTGAAAGAAAATTTTTAGTTTGTCTATCTATGAAGTGAACAGTTCTTTATTCGACTTCAAAATGATTGGTAATGACAATCAGATGTTCTTCGAGGCATTTTTAAGGCCTTTAAGTATGTTTATGTAACCTTGAAAGATTGGATTAAGTCGATAAAAATGTCAGTAAACAAATATATATTCTATTCACTGTTCCAAACTATCGACTCATATTAGAGTAACTTATCAGATTTGATAAAAAAAAACATTACATTATATTCCATTGTAAAAAAATGACTTGGCGTCATCAAGTTAAGTTATTCATGATATAAAAACCGTATAAAGCTTCTATCTTTTTTCATTCAGTCAAAGAAGGTTCAATTATACTTTAAAAACACCATTTGTTTTTTTAAAAAATAAATCTTTTGTTGGAAAAACAAACTGATGACTCATTTTAATAATAATAATAATAATAATAATAATAATAATAATAATAATATTAAAACAACAAATTATTAATACATAAATAATGTATTGACTATTAAAATTCAATTATTGAACTTTCTAGTTATCAGAAAAAAAAATTATTTCAATAACATCTCGTTGGGAAACAACATGTTAAATCCACAAAAAAATTTAATTTATATAAATATTAAGATGTGTCTGACATTCTTTTTCGTCATAGCCGAAAATCGTCGAAAAGAGTTGAACATTTCAAACGGGTATGACGAAAAATTATATTTTGCCACCCTCGCTTTCAGATCGGGTTGTAATTTTACACGTGGTTTGAATTAGTCTACTTTTCCTCCCTAGGTGTGAAATATGCTATTTTTTCATACCCTAGCTCCAAGTTAAAATTTGCTCCCTGTTTTCAAGCGACGTACTACCCCAGCACTCTACCACTAAGCCGTCATTCGATAAAAAAATTTACAAGATTTATAATATGTCTCCATCTTCGATTGATTGATCAATCACCAGTTTAGTAATCTTGTCGTTACATACGCCATGATGGCAATCGCTGCACCCTACCGTCATTACAAGTCATTAGCATTTGACTCGACGTCACACTATTCTGCAGTATAAAATAAAACTTGAAAAATTATTATGAATGTTAAACAGAATTATTATTTATTTACTGTGCTGTCGACACCATGCAGAGTCAATTATTTGTTACATGTATTAATTATTTATTTAAATTTGAATGAACATTATTTTTTTAAACTAGAAGATCGTCATTGCTCATTAAAATTAATGACTTATTGCTTGTGTCATATACATTTTGCATAATACTTTTGTGTAATTACAAATCTCATTTTTTTTGACACGTGGTAAAAGTAAGATGATTAAATTTATTTAACATACTTTTCACTTTATAAAAAGTTTGTAAATATTTATTATCTATTCGTAGCATTTTAATATTTAACTAATCTCTCAAAGTGTTATTCTGAGATGTTTGACAGAATTATAAATTTACAAAGCAAATAAAAATGTGTCAATATCATTTTAACGATATTTTACTCCAACATAATCATTCAGCTATTGCTCCAATTATTTCTTATTGCTTACAACATGATTTTTTAACTACTGATATATCAATAAAGTTATTTCAATATCATGTGTGATAATTTGTTATATCATTTGTTGGTATAAAAATTGTTTAATTAAAAACCAATCAATTTGTCACTCTAGACGATATAAAATAGTAATTTTACGAATGTCTCGAAATGATAAATATTTATAAAAATATTCACACATAAATTACAATGTTGCATCGTAAATTTGTATGAATTAAAATTGTTAATGTATTTAAAGTATTTTTTACGACGTGCACAACAATAATTTCAATGCTAATTTTATATAATATCGCAAAAAAAAATACTTAGAAATTACTGAAATCTTCTAATTAGTAGTGATGATTGATTATTGTTCCTGATAACGAGTTATGAAAACGTTAGATCATCAAGTTTCCATTCTTTTTATAGTAACACAGGATATAAATTGAAAAAATAAATAAATAAGTGTTTATTGGGGTTGAATAAGTATGTCTCTAATTCGGTATTGAATGAGTATTCATTGGCATTAACCAACTATCTACTTGATTGCAAAGTTTCAGATGAATACAGAACCTTGATTTAGTTAAATAAAGGATTACTATGATTAACTCGAGCAATTACTTACTCTATAGAAGTAATTACATCTATGTCTATAAATTTACTTTAAGTTCAATTTTATTGCTTCATGTTTACATTACAAACAGTGATTGAAAACTGATTATTTTTCTAACTAAAATATGATTATATTTCTTGGTGAACCTGTTCAAGTTGTCATCCAATCATCACGCATTTTTTGTGTGCAATATACTCTGATTTTTATGAATGTATATTTCCTTATTAAAAATATGTATTCTGACATATCTTTAATACATTTTTTAAAAATAGATCAATTAAATTCGAGTTTAATCAATTATTAAAATTTGTCATCTTTTTAAATTAATTTGAATTGTTCTGAATGATAAGTTAGCTTACTGCATAAATGAATGAATAAAAATTCCCTAGAAAACTGAAAATATAATCGCTTATTATTTATCAAATTAACTTGTAAATTTTCTGAATATCAATTTTATGCTAAATGCTCACAACATGAGTTAATAAATTAAGTATAATTAATGAACTTCACAGCATAAAAAATAGATATGATTGTTACTATTTAATATTGCATTATCATGATATCAATTGATTTTATAATTTTTGGAGTTAGTGCACATGCTGGTGAGAAATAGTTTTGCTAATAAATCCCTTGAGAATGGCGAAAATTTGTGCATACGAAAATAAGTAAATCCCTCGCAAACTTTGTACTTCATACATTCTGGAAGATTGGGTTTAATCCTAGTGAGGGACATGTGTCTGCCGGAAACCTAAGGATACTGTTGAGTCGTTGACATTCGGCCTCGAGATCCTCGTCGACCTCGTCGTTGCTGAAAGTATTCTCCACTGCTCAGTCAACCTCACAACTGATCCTCCAACAAATTCACTTCCTCATCAGGCAAGACCTTCTCACAATTGGCGAACTCTTGCAACCAATCCTGCATTTTTGTTCTGCCAGTTTTTTTTTTGGTTCAAATTATTTATATTTATAAGTCGAACCGATTATTATCTGTCAAGGAGATCACTCAATTACGTGACCTTTAGTATTTTATTCATATTTAATTATACATTAGTTGTAATTTTATACTGAATTCATGAAAATTTTTTTTAGTTTATGTACTTTTACTTGTAATTTTGTAATTTTTTTTTCTTTCTTCAGGTTAAAGAATTTACTGTCCGTGATTCATGCCACAAACTTGTAAAGTTGAATCAGATAAAAGTAGTGAATAGTAGACACACGTCATGGAAAGATTTATTACAAAATCCTGAATAATTTTAAGAGTGACATTTTTCAACCAATAAGAAAAAAGTCACTCACTTTTCGATATATTTCGATTATTAGTTCACTCCACATATCCATGTAAATTCATAAATACGATCAGAGTTTTTTAATAATCTTCAAAATTGTGTAAAATCCTTTTTTAAATCACTAATAAATCTCCATAATTTTTTTTATTTATGATAGAAATCGTCTTGTTATTATAAATGATCGTTACATTATGATAAGTGTCTCATTATTTTCATGCAGAAACATCAATGCAGATCTGAATTATTTTTTACGAGTGTTGGTAGAAATACATGTTACATAGATGGTAAATAAGCCCATAGACGTAATCGAATTTAATATTGAATCATTTGTAGAATGTAAACTAAAACAATTTCGGGTTATCAAGATTAGTTGTGACAACTCATGATAAACTCATACAATACCGCAGAGACACTGAAGACGAGGCCAACTGTCTCGCGAATTACCATAAGACTTGTTTGGGAACTCCGATGTTTCCGCCTGTTTACATCTTCCTCAGAATAATGAAAGTGCTTCTCTCTCCTTCAACTATGAGTTTTGATACATGGTTGTGTTGAATATGGTAATTTTCTTTATTTCGCCTTCAATAACGAAAGTCAACACGATTTTACAAAATATAAAATCCAAATCTCTGGTTTATTTTCATTGTACTCAAGAGTATTAATCATTTTGATCGAAAAAATTTATAGGCTCTACAAAAGATATTTTAAATTAAATCATTGGAATATATGAAAAAGCTTATTAATAATAAAATATTTGTTAACTTAATTAATTTAATTGATACAAAAGAATTTAAGTTACAATTACCTTCAACTAGTTCTGTTAACTAACACTATGTCTCTGAAACTTGGAAAGCCAACAAAGTACTCAAAGCTTAAAGGATTACACGAGCACTTTCAGATTGTAAAATAATTCAGTTAGACAAGAGAGATATATATCGCAATGAGGATTAGTTTGAGAAATGAACAAAGATTGATTGTATCCATTTATAATGTGTTCATTAAATGCACTGACGGATTTAGAATATTTGTAAATCATAATATTCAAAAATAAATAAGTAAACTACTTAAATGATACTACCAGACAACTACTTAATCTTATGGTACATGAACTTATTAATTAAGAAGAACGGAAAGTATAATCGTAGTTCATTTTGATTATGAATGAGATATTCGAAAGAAATTCGGCACTACTATTTACGATATTTGTTAAGTAGAATTATCGGCGTCTGTTAATCTGAATCACCTAACTTTGTTTAAGTATAATGTAAATTAAAGTATTGTTGTTTGTATGGTGAATATTATACTTTTTGCTATTAAATATTTTTTGTGTAATTAAATTAAAAAAAAAAACAACAATAAAATTACGGAAACTGATCGATATCACGAATTTCCGTTGTTAGATAGTAATAATTACATAAGATGAGACAAGCTCAAATATCTGTATTCAGTATCTGACACTTGAGAAATTTACCCTCAGACCTAAATAGATAATAGGTCGCTGGTATCGTGACTCTATATCCCTCTCCATGTTTCTCTTTTTACAACTTACGCCTTTTTCTTCTTTGCTTATCAATTAATGAAACATGCTGACAGTTTATATTCGACATACCATCATTATCAAGAAGTCTGTCTGAAAAATTAGTTCTTCAACTTCAACAAAACAATTCCATTGATTCTAGATTCATTTTTAGTGAGCTTTGTTTATTGCGTGAAGTCCAAGTGATCGTGATACTACTGTGTAGAAGCAGCTAATA